CTACGGATAAGATAGCAATGGAGTGGCCCCCCCGAACTGGAGTTTCACCTAAAATTCGTTAGCTCGCCAGCTATTAATTCGTATTACCTTCTAGACTAAAGCATTAATACGTTAGTGTTATAAGGAAGACATTTGAGCGTAACACGAACATTTTTTGAACACTGCGAACTTTCCAATCTGCCTCCGTTCCTTTAAACCCCCCACCTTCATCTCAATTTGAATTCTCTATGAAAGTCATATAAGTATTAAACCTGAACTGCAAAGCCATTAGTGCAATCTCAAAACAAAATTCCACAGGAGCCTGCTGGGGAACAACTTCCATTCGTGACGATAGTGACGCAGCCAAAAGGGGGTCCACGTTCAAAATCCGCATTGTCGTCAAAGGGTTAAAGGCATCTTGGGTCTGTTGTCCGACGGGGAACATCAGCTGGCCAATTGCTCGCACCGTTATTACAAAAGAGAACATGTTAGGACCTGTGGTATATACTGAAGCTTTCATACACCTAACGATATTGTGGTACTGACAAGTTCTGTTTTGTTAGCTGCTCGAAGATCTGCAGATTTTAACATTGTTTATTGTTTATTTATAAAGTTGCGTAAGGCAAACGTTAGAAAAGAATACAACACACTGAGAAAAATGATGAGTCAATACAATTATGGAGATGGGATTTCAGGTGAATCTCAAATAACTTGGTTATTCTGTAACTTACAAGGGAAGGATACCAAGTCGAAGTGGCCATCCGTAATGAAACCTATACTCAGAGATGTGTTTTCGGACGCTGATCTCGAATCCACTCTCCAAAAATTCTGCGAAACGATTCTCTGAAAAGTAGGCAATCGCTGATAACTTAGCATGGATAAGAGTTCCTTAAACAATGTTCTCAAGAAAAGCAAAAGTGAGAACTCGCCAAGAAGTCGATCTCACGACCTCTTGTTCGTCGGCCCGGGCCGCTGCCACTGCACTATCTCGCTTCATAACTACGTTCAGAGAATCGTTTCGCAGATTTGGAGAGCAGATTCGAGATCAGCGTCCAAAAACACATCTAGTGGTGTATGTCTCGTTACAAATGGCCACTTCGACCTGGTATCCTTCCCTTGTTAGAAGTTTTAGAAATCTGTCTTTGAACTTTTCAATGTATTGGGAATAGCAATATTTTTTGTTATCTTTATATATGAGCTAGCAGCTCTGAATGTAAAACTTTTGGCTCTAAGATTGGTTCTGGGCCTAGCTATAAGGATTTTAGTCTGACCGCCCCTTGTACGAGAGTGTGTGATGGTTTAGAGCTTTAAGGGACCAAATCCATTGGATTGAGGTAGAATTATAGACCACCAGTGCTGCTCCGCCCGCTATCGCGCGCTTGTCATACATGTCATACACACAACATACGCTTCAGTGATATTGAGTACCAGTTTGGCTTCGCTCGCTATCGCGCGGCAAAGTACGCCTTTCAGAAGAGAACTGCTTGCATTAGCTTTTCATTGCTCAATTGGAGGATTTTTATGAATTTGATTGATATTATTATGGTGCTGAATGATAGGCGCGCAGTCATTTCCTGGCGGCTATCCAATACCATTCAAACATACATTCATTTTTCGGTCAATCCAACATGTGTTTAGCGGCTGATACTTGGATAAGTTACAAGAATTAGCATCTGACAGCTGCACTCGATAGTGTAGTCTACCACCCATCTAATAGCATTGCGTTAATCTACTTATCATGCTCCAAATTTGAAAGTTTAGCGGTTGAAACTTCTTATGAATGTGCGCATTGAAATAGAAACACAAATACTCATTATCCACAACACCGACCATCCTGAAAAGCTCAGAGAGATTAGCGGTCTAATGAATCTCGATGGTGACGACGAAATCGCAGAAAAAATGGAAAGCATTTCTTATCGCGCCTCTAGGTAACAACTTCAGTGACTCCTCCGTACTCGAGCTTTCTTATCAGCCCTTATAAGCCGTTTTCACTTTTTGTCACCCATCAAACATGACCCTTCAAAAGATCCGTTGCCCTTCCCTTCTAAGGTTCCTTATCAGCATCTATCAGTTGGTGTCAGTTTCTGTCACCCGCCAAATATGTTCCCGTCCCACCATTCATACAATATATTGAACCAACGCCTCACAGTCGCTGGGACGCATGCTATGAATTTCGTGACATTTGCGTTCTAGCGCCTTTTATCAGCCCTTATCAGTTGTTATCACTTTCTTTACCCCACCAAATATGTTCCCGTCCCACCCCCTATATCATATCTTGAAACCAACTCCTGACGACCACTGGTGCCCGAGCTATGAATTTCGCGACACTTGCGTTCTAGCGCCTTTTATCAGCCCTTATCAGTTGTTATCACTTTCTGTACCCCACCAAATATGTTCCCGTCCCACCCCTATATCATATCTTGAAATCAACTCCTGACGACACTGGTGCCCGCGCTATGAATTTCGTGACAGACAGATGTACACACACACACACACACAGACAGACATACTTAGTGAATTATATAAAGTAGGGATGAACGGGCTGTTGCATAGAGTCACATACTGCATTCAAGTGGATTCGACTGATGGTATTGACGAAATCAGATGATAAAACAGTAATTTCTCGTGGCTCGACAATACCAATAAACACCATCATTTCTCTAGAGCTTACGAAGCCTAGAGTTTGAATGGCATATAATTACTTGGACCTGCTTATTATCAGCCCTCAGCGTAAACATCTAGCTTTGCCGGTCGAATAACCCTTTGCCAGTGATGAGATACCAATAATCGTAGTATTGCACAGACACCGACCATACAAGAAGCTCGGACAAATTAGCGGTCGAATGGATCACGACTACATCGCGAAGAAATGAGGTGTTTTCTTATCCCACATCTGGATAAGAACTTCAGTGACATTTGCTTTTAACGCTCCTTATCAGCTCCTATCAGCCGTTATCACTTTCTGGTCCCCATCAAATATGTTCCCATCCCATCCTCCGGAACATTACTCTTTGTGCAAAACATTGTGAATAAACAATAAACAATGAACCTCTCTACGATCATGTGACATAAGAAAGATAATACCACTTCATCTTATAAGATCTAAATTGGTGTGTCGTTGAGGGTGTGTATTTACCAGTGTAATGTGTGTGCTATAAGTCTGCTACTGCGCGCATCTCGTAGTGACGAGTGAATATGGAACCCCGTGAAACATCCCCTAACACATTTTACGAAGCCTCACTACTGGATACGTTATCCTTGTTACCCATGTTGTATATTGGACCTGTATCACAACGCTACCATTTGATCGCGAGAGCGTGCGGAGCCAACAGGTGTATGAAAATGTGTAGATGCACAACTCACTTTGCTCGTTACTGCACTTTTGGGAGCAGGGCCTAGCGACTTGCTTGGACTGCCATGCAAGGTAAGCTCTTTAATCGAAGCAGACGTTGGTCTTTCTGCCATAATCTGAAAATGTCACGTATGAGCTCTCCAGAGGAATGTCGTGGATCTAAAGCTCACTTTTACGTGTAAACTAGCAGAGAGTCTCAGTGAGTGAGTCATATCGTTTTCCTTACAACAGCTCACGGCCCCCTTATTTATCTTTACAGGAAATAACGTTTAGTTTTTGGTCTATATACCTGTCGTTGATCATACATATCCGTTTGAATCGAAAGTTCGAACAGGTTCTGTGTAGGAGTTCTTGCCCTACTCCCCTAACATCTCCCTCCTCCTTCTCGATCCTGAACGCAAATTGATTAAAGTACAATTTGTTGTAAACCCTTCGGCTAGAATTCTGTACCCGATGAATCGCCGAAACGCCTCTCACCAAAATACCCGCTCTTCTAGCTGACTTTCTATATCGAAACGAAGCATTGCTTGAGTCCCTTTCCCGAAAAACACCACGTTCAACTTAATCTGAGACATGACTACTTATCCCCACAGACAAGAAATGTCAAAGTCACACATGGTGGCTATTAATAAATCTCGTCTACATTACTAACTCAATTCGCCGAGTTGCGTGTTCCGTTTGTTAATGCTAACTCACTCCCCGCCATACACTCCCCTCAAAAATGGACACACGTTTCGGTGCCAGACCTCGGAGAAGAGCCACAACTGACGACGAGCCTCAATGTAATTCTGAAATCTGGACTGTTTCATAGTAGCCGATTTATGGTAAATATGACTTTGTCTAATATACATGTGACAATCGATAAAATTGCACTGCAACAGATATACACATATATTCATTGGCAGACCAACTAAACCTCTTCAACGTGCGTCACTTCGTGTACAATGAGTCTGCACCACACTTTCGCTTTTGAAGGGGATGGTACATTTGCTGTGATTATCCCAGCAACAATTCGGCATGCTGGAGCTTAAACTAAAAACACAACTGCCTTCTATAAGAAAGAAAAACAATCACTATCAAGAGATGAGTACGTACCCCAATTCGAGAGAATAACAAAAAATGTAATGTCTAATACGGCGAAATAAAAAGAAATGGGAAAGTGACTGGAAAGGTGGCCATGCGATTAAAACAAAGCGAGCTTACTATTCTGAGTAACTTGCAGACTCGTCCCTATGATTGATTTTGCAATTAGTCATCATCAGAATTTAATCAACAAGCGGTTATGTAACACAAAACATAAGACGAGACAAAACCACGGCCATTTCAACACGATCTTGATAGAAAGCTGAAGAGGCACAACAAATAAGACGGCGGGATTAAGGGAGGAAGAACATAACACGTTTACAACAGAACACAAAAGAAACTGAAGAGAATAGAGAGAGAATAAAATAGCTGAAGAAATAATAACTGATAAATATAAAGGATACATAAAGCAATATATCTCAGGGCTCACTTGCTTTTGATTCCCTTTCATGCATTTGCATACTTAGAATTATCGTTAAACACACACACATCAAGTGGCATACCTTCAGCTTCTTTGCTGGAAGATTCCAATATTGGTGTTGTGCTTGAGATTTCAGTGAACACTGTTCCATTGATGGAATCTTCCTCAGATGGTTTCTCGATGGATGGAGTCAAGCCAAAAGTGGGCGGATGCACTGAAGACGCCTCTGGTAGTTTCCAAAACTTCAGCCGAAGCACTAGACATGCCGGATCCTTCGAGGGAGATCCTGACCTTGTCGCCTTTCCGTTCTGTTTCTTCGTCATTGTCACTAATCTGTTCCTCCGCAGATTCTATTTTGGGCAACAGAAGTTCGGAGCTTTCGTCGACCTGTTTACTACTAGCCAGCTCCTCCTTCGATAACGTCGCTTCAGTTGCCGTCATCCGCTCTGACGATGTTGCTCCTAAAGGAAATAAAAGGTTCGGTGGTTCTCCAGTCACTTCACGATTCAGTGCGGTAAGTACGAGATCTTCATTTTCGTTGGAATCATCATCTGATTCCGGTGCAGCCCGCAGTTCATTGGATACAGTTTTCGATACAGGAACGAGGGGAACGACAGGTATCGTTGGAGGAGCTTCTGCAGTAGCCGTAGTATTCTCATTTACTGATGATTCTGATGTAGGGGTCTCCGATGATGTTTCAGTGACAGCTGAACTGTCCAATGCCAAATCGCTCGAAGGCTCTGGAGCCGCCGAAGTCGTCATCAATTGTGTTGTCGTCTGGAGCAGGTCTGCCGGTGTAGTTCTCTCTGTGGTGGTGCTTCTTGGAGTCGTTGGTGCAGGGGTGGTGGTGCTACGGCGAGTCGTGGGCGAAAGAGAAAGCACATCCACGCTGATACTAGCAGTCTGCATGGAGCCATCGTCGTGAGCCTGAAAAACCACTTCATTAGAACTTTTACGAGAAACTGCCACTGATTCTTCTGCCTCAATGATGTGCTTCTATGAGATCTGAATAGCTTTTGATCTGAAGTCGGTGCGGACAAAGTTTAATCCAA